TCCTCCTAAGATTAGGAACAAGACAGGGATGCTCACTTCACCATTTCTATTCAACACTGTACCGAAAGTCCTAGCCAGTGCAATAACACAAGGAAAAAAGCGGCATACAGATCGGGAAGAAAGGTGGAAGCAAAGCTGTCTCTATTAGCAGTTGACATAATTATTACATAGACAATTCTAAGAAATCCACAAAATAATTACAGGAACTATAAGTGAATTTGGCAAGGTATAGGATACTAAGTCAATGTACAAAATCAATTATATTTATCTAGACTGGCAGCAAAGAATTGGAAAATGAAGTAATTTCATTTATAGGGGCATTAAAAAACAAAATATTTAGAAATAAATTTAACAAAAGAAACTAAAGATATCTACATTGAAAACAAATTTTAAAAACTGAAATAAATGGTTTATGAAATGTAAGGTTTTTAAGATGCCTTTTTTCTGTAAATTCATCTATAGGCCCTTTTGTAAAAATTAAGAAGCTGACTTTTTTTTTAGAAATAGGGTCTCACTGTGCCACCCAGGCTGGAGTGCAGTGGCACAATCATAGCTCACTGTAGCCTACAACTTCTGGGTTCAAGCAATCCTCCTGCCTCAGCCTCCCAAGGAGCTAGGACCATAGGCGCCCACCATCATGCACAGTTAATTTTTACATTTTTTAAAGAGATGAGGTCTTGCAGGCCAGGCGCGGTATCTCACACTTGTAATCCCAGCACTTTGGGAGGCCGAGGTAGGCGGATTGCTTGAGATCAAGAGTTCAAGACCAGCCTGGCCAACATGGTGAAACCCTGTCTCTACTAAAAATACAAAGAAATTAGCTGGGAATGGTGGCAGGTGCCTGTAATCCCAGCTACTTGGGAGGCTGAGTCAGGAGAATTGCTAGAACCCGGAAGGTGGAGGTTGTAGTGAGCCGAGATCACACCACTGCGCTCCAGCCTGGGTGACAGAGCAAGACTCCGTCTCAAAAAAAAAAAAAACAAAAAAAGATGAGGTCTTGTTATGTTGTCCAGGTTGGTCTTGAACTCCAGAGCTCAAGCAATCCTTGTGCCTCAGCCTCAAAAGTGCTGGGATTACAGGCATGAGACACAGTGCCTAGCAAAAAATAATAACCTTTATTTTTATAATAATTTTAATTTATAGAAAAGTTGCAAAAATGGTACAGTGAGTTTCTGTATACTCACTCAATTTCTCATAATGATAACATTTTACATTACCATAATATCTTTGTCAAAAGTAAGAAGTCAACACTGGTACCTTACTGTTTTATTTGGATTTCGCTAGTTTTTCCCTAGTGCCCTTTTTCTGTTCTAGGATCCAGTCCAGGATACTACACTGCATGTAATTGTCATGTCTCCTTAGTTTACTTGAATCTGTGACAATTTCTCAGTCTTTCCTTTTTTTTTTTTTTTTTAAATGAGCTTGACAGTTTTGAGGAGTACTGGTCAGGCATTATGTAGAATGTCCCTCAGTTTGAGTTTACCTGATGTTTTCCCATGCTTGAACTATGGTTACGGGTTTTGTGGAAGAATGCCACAGTGGCAACATGCCCTTTTCATCACATCACACCAGGTGCTGTCAACACGATTTTTTATGGAGAGGTTTTAATTTGATCACTTGGTCAATAAGCTGATTTTAAATAGTATGTGGGGCCAGGCACAGTGGCTCATGCCTGTAATCCCACCACTTTAGGAGGCTGAGGTGGGTGGATCCCCTGAGGACAGGAGTTTGAGACCAGCCTGGGCAGCATGGTGAAACCCCCTCTCTATTAAAAATACAAAAATTAGCCAAGCGTGGTGGTGGGGGCCTGTAATCCCAGCTACTCGGGAGGCTGAGACAGGAGAATCTTTTGAACCTGGGAGGTGTAGGTTGCAGTGAGCTGAGATTGCACCATTGCACTCCAATCTGGGTGACGAGAGTGAAAAAAAAAAAAAAAAAGTATGTGGAAATACAAAGAATGTAGAATAGCAAAAATAATTTTCAAAAGTTAAGAGCAAAGCCTTAAGACTTATATTACCTGATTTAATGCCTTATGACAAAGTTACAGTAATCAAGACTGTGGAACTGCCATAAGGATAAACAAGTAAGTCATTGGAACAGAATAGAAAGTTCAGAAAGAGAACCACACTTAAATGATCAATCAATTTTCGACAGAGACAGGAAAACAATTCAAGGGGGAATTGTGTTTTCATCAGATGGTGTCGGAACAAGTGGGTAGTGGGTATCTGCATGGAAAAAAAGAGGCTAAGAAACCTGCCCAAGGTCACCAAGTCTGTGAGTGGTAGGGACAGGTATTCCAAGCCAGACTTTCCGGCTAACATGTGCTATAAATTGTGAATATAAATTTATGACCAAAACATTTAGGTCACAATAATTTTTCAGTGTAAAATTCAATTTGAGGCTATACTATTTAAAAATGTCAATGTCATGAAAGAAAAAGCAAAGTTAAGGAAATGTTCCAGATTAAAGGAGACTCAAGAGACTTTGCTAAATGCAATACATGATCCTCAACCGGATCTTGGATCATACAGACACACTAAAATTCCACAAAGGACATGAATGCAATAATGGAAAATAATATGGAGAGTATGTTAGAGAATAGTTTTGTGTGAATGTTAAATTCTCTGAATTTGAAAATCATACTGCAGTTATGTAACAATATGTTCTTATTTTTAGAAGATACAAGTAGAATTATTTGGCTGTAAAGGGTGGGTGATGTCTGAAATAGTTCAGCACTATTAACAACAACGATCAAAATATATGTGGAAAAAAATAAAATATTGAAAAATGTTAACAATTGGTAAACCGAAGCTAAAAGTATACGGTCATTCATTGTGTTATTCTTGTAACTTACTTGTTAGAAATTCTAAAAAAAAATTTCAAATAAAATGTTACATGTATATATCACTTAAGTGCTAGACTTTGTAATTTTTTATTTTTTATTTTTATTTATTTGTCTTTTTTGAGACAGGGTTTCGCTGTGTCATCCAGGCTGGAGTGCAGTGGTGTGATCACACCTCACTGCAGCCTCGACTTCCCAGACTCAATCCATCCTCAGATCTCAGCCTCTCAAATATCTGGGATTATAATTGCGTGCCACCATGCCTAGATAATTTTGTATGTTTTGGAGAGACAAGAGCCTCACTAGTTGCCCAAAGTGGTCTTGAACTCCTGGGCTTAAGCGATCTGTCCACCTCGGCCTCCCAAAGTGCTGGAATTACGGGACTTGAGCAGCCGCATTCTGCCTGTAAATGTTTTTATTTCTTTCAGAGATTTTGTTTCTTATGTTATCTCTCTACTCCCAATGCCTATCCTAAGACTTGTAACAGTAAATAGTAAATGTCTGGAATAAATGTAAATATTTGAATCTGGAGTTTGTGGAGGAGCCTAAGAATCTTGTGAGATTGTTCTCATCGTGTCAGTCTAACTAGGGAAGTAAATTCTGTAAAGTTAAAATTTATAGATGTAGCAGGTTTCCAAAAATAGTAATATGCTTTCTTAGGTACTACAAAGGAATGGAACCACTGGAGCTCAGAACGGCAGGAGAAGTTTGAAAATAGAAGAAACTGAAGAGGAACTTGAAAAGCCAGTAGGCATCGAAAGGAAGAGGAGTGCTTGGGACACCAATTGCGGGTAGAGCGTGCAGTATCCCATGTTTCTACCACCATTCAGAATCTGATTTTCGAACGAATTCTGTGACGATCAGGATCAATCTGCACTATTTTCATCTCTACGTGATCTGAAATTAACTTGGTGGACCTGGAATGACCACAGATGTGGTTTTAAACCAGCAAGTTTCGTAGTCAGGGCTGGTGCAACAGGCTTACAAAGGGAATGGTGGAAAATATGATATGTTAGTGAAAGAGGTTGCGAATGGATTGTGGAGACCCCTGAATGGTAGACTGAGAGAGTGACAAGATGAAAATGACATTATAGGAAGAGCAATCTGTCAGTTATAATGGCAGTTAAAAAGTGTCTCACAACACTGCACCTTAACCAAACTTGGAATTCCAAAGTGCTGGGACCTCTATTGGAGAGCAGTTAAGTTCAGTTCTATTTTAGATCACGTAGAGACTAAAATAGTGCAGATTGATCCTGATCATCACAGAATTCGTTTGAAAATCGGATTCGGAATGGTGGTAGAAACATGGGATACGTGGCACGCTTTGCCCCCAACTGCTGTCCCAAGGACTCGGGACAGCAATTGCCTTTCTAATTGGCTACCCTGTTTAGCGATTACTATGCACCAAGCGCTTTACAGGCACTCTCATTAAAATAGGCAAACCGGGCCAGGCGCAGTGGCTCACGCCTGTAATCCCAGCCCTTTGAGAGGCCTAGGCGGGCGGATCACCTGAGGTCAGGAGTTCAAGACCAGCCTGGCCAACACGGTGAAACCCCGTCTCTAGTAAAAATACAAAAATTAGCCGGGCGTGGTGGCGGGTGCCTGTAATTCCAGCTACTCGGGAGGCTGAGACAGGAGAGTCGCTTGAACCTGGGAGGCGGAGGTTGCAGTGAGCCAAGATCGCACCACTGCACTCCAGCCTGGGTGACAGAGCGAGAGCCTGTCTCAAGAAAAAAAAAAAAGAAAAGAAAAGGCAAACCCATTTGTTAAGAGAGAGCTTATCAAGCCCATTTTACTGATGGGGAAACTGAGGAGAGACGGGATTGGCCAGATCACGACCTGGAGGCAGCAAAGACGTAAAATCACGGTTGGGATACAAGCTGTGCCGGTAGTGTAGGAGAAACGAGCTTCCTGAGACTCAGGAGAAAGCCACAGCGATGGGAAGGGAAGCGGAACACTGAGACCCTAAAGGCCTACAGGCTGAGCAAAGGGGAACCTCTCCTGAGGTGACAGCTGTCAGCACATCTCTTCGGTGCCAGTCCAAAAATCGCGGTATCTGATTGGCGAGGTTGGAGGGGCTGAACGACCCTAATTGGTTAGTTCGACCTCGAACCAGACTTTCACCTGGAGGATCTGGCGAAGAGTGGGCGGGACTTCTAACTGAGTCACTCGTTTCATTGGTGAAAAGAAAACGAACCAGGCACTATTCGGAAGTGTGATTGGCTGTTGCTAGGAACCGTCTCAAGGCCTTATGGGCCCTGGTTACGGAAGCCGAGGAAGGCTGAGAGCGGTCTCTCCAGGAAAGTAGTCGCGGAATCTCAGTTAGCGGTGGGGAGGCGGTATGTCCGGTTCAATGGCGACTGCGGAAGCTAGCGGTAGCGATGGGAAAGGGCAGGAAGTCGAGACCTCAGTCACCTATTACCGATTGGAGGAGGTGGCAAAGCGCAACTCCTTGAAGGAACTGTGGCTTGTGATCCATGGGCGAGTCTACGATGTCACCCGCTTCCTCAACGAGGTGGGGCCTGGGAGGTGGGAGGCCTCTGGAGCTGCTGGGGCGAGGGGTGAAAAGGCTGTGTGGGGGGTATGTGGGAAGGAAGGGAGGCTTGGCTGGGGGTGATAAGGCGTACGAAAGGGATCACGACCCTCAGAAGGAAACTGGGGTGGGATTGGGGGGAGGGCTTTAGTTTGCATGCATTTCCAGTAAGCTCCGAGTTCTGGTGCCTTATGTAATATCATGTATTACTTATGTGTCGAGCACTTGCTGTGTGCTCAGCTAAACTCTAAGCCATCATTATCTTTATTTTACAGAAAGGGAAACTGAGGCTCACAGGTTGAGAACTCTCAAGGCCATGCAGTTAACGGCCTAGATCCTTTGAACCTAGGTCTGAAGTGCACCCACATCTGTGCTTTTCCAGTGTGCCTTCTGAAGTAATACCGTTTTTGGTTTTTGTCTTCTAGAGTAGAAGCTGAGATTTCTCTCCACACGCTCCCCCATCTTGATTATGCCTCCATTGTCTTTTTTTCCCCCCTAATCTGAGTTGACCTTGAGGCCAGAAATTCATAAATCAACCTTTTTTTTTTTTTGTCATTGGCTCATGTTTTGTCATTTTTCTTAAATATTCAAGGCTGTTTTATTTAATCTTCAAGCCTGTTGCATTAGATCTCATCTTAAAAATTATCTTTGAGATCATGGTGCAACTAATTTTTTTTTTTTTAATTAAGGAAAGAGGATAGACTTTTAAAAATTTAAACTAACTTTATTGAGGTGTAATGTACATACGTAAATTGTGCCTATCTAAAATGTACATTTTGCTGAGTTTTGAAAAATGTATTCATCCATGTTAAGACATAAACCATTTCCATCACTCTAAAAAGCTTCCTTTCCCTTTGCAGTCATTCTCTCCCAACCCTAGGCAACTAGTGATATGCAACCACTAAAGATTGGTTTGAAGCTTTGATTGTGTGTGTGTGTGTGTGCATGTGTGTGTGTGAGATCATTTTATTTTGAGCAATAGATTAATGACTTGTGAAAGTTCACTTCTATTTCTCTGAAGCAAATATACTAGTGAAATATTTTTTCGATTAATTTGGGGCCTAAAAGAGAAATCTCTGCATCCTGACTTTTAATTCTAAAAACTTTTAAAATGTAAAAGTTTCCCCCAAAGAACATTATTTTTAATAAATCTTAATAGTGAACAATAACTTAACAAACTCAGAATTTAGTAACTTCTTGCATTTGTATGGTGTGGCATTTTATGCTTTTAAAATTGCTTTCCGGCCGGGTGCTGTGGGTCACCCCTGTAATCCCAGCACTTTGGGAGGTCGAGACTGGCGGATCACGAGATCAGGAGATCGAGACCATCCTGGCTAACACGGTGAAACCCCGTCTCTACTAAAAATACAAAATACTAGCCGGGAGTGATGGCGGGCGCCTGTAGTCCCAGCTACTTGGGAGGCTGAGGCAGGAGAATGGCGGGAACCCGGGAGGCAGAGCTTTCAGTGAGCTGAGATCTGAGATCACGCCACTGCACCCCACTGCACTCCAGCCTGAGACTCTGTAGTCCCAGCTACTTGGGAGGCTGAGGCAGGAAAATCACTTGAACCAGGGAGGCGGAGGTTGCAGTGAGCCAAGATCGCGCCATTGCACTCCAGTCTGGGCGACAGAGTGAGACTCCAAAAAAAAAAAAAAAAAAGCAGGGGGGGGGCGCTTTCCCATTATTTCATCTTCAGAACAACTAGTCCAGGGTGACTTGGATAGTGGTGATTTTTATTTTAACAGAGGTACGAGTAATAGGTTCAGAGAGACCCTGGTCATACAATCAGTTAGTAGCAGATTTGACAGATCCCTTGATTTCTCTTGTCTGCATAGTATTACTTCAAAATTCTAGCCTTAGCTATGACTTCTGGTATTTGCTTCATAATAAGTTTCATGCATGGTTCATAATGGGTAGAAAATCAAGTTTTTTGGCCGGGCGCAGTGACTCATGCCTGTGATCCCAGCACTTTTGGAGGCAGAGGCGGGCAGATCACCTGAGGTCAGGAGTTCAAGACCAGTTTGACCAACATGGTGAAACCTCATCTCTGCTAAAACTACAAAATAAAGCCAGGCGTGGTGGCACCTGTGATCCCAGCTACTTGGGAGGCTGAGGTAGGAGAATCGCTTGAACCTGGGAGGCAGAGGCTGCAGTGAGCTGAGATGGTGCTGCTGCACTCCAACCTGGGTGATAGGGTGAGACTGTCTCAAAAAAAGAGAAAAAAAAAAGAAAATCATGTTTTTCATTTGTGGTTTTATTTCCCCCCATTTTTTTCCTTGATTGATTCAGAATAGATGGTGAGCTTGGAGGGAACACTAAGCCCTTACAGAGAGCATTAATTCAGTCTCAAGTAATAGTTGCTACCTGTTTCTTTTTTTTTTTCCCTCTGTGAAGATTCCAGAAGTAACTAACCTGTTTCAACCACATGCTGATATAGCCAGAGACATCACTAATGTGCCAAGGTTTCCCTTGGAGCTTAAGCCGCAGATCTTTACCTGCAGTTTTGTTTTTTTTTTGTTTTGTTTTTTGAGACAAGGTCTTACTTTCACCCAGGCTGGAGTGCGGCTCCCTGCAGCCTCAGTCTCCTGGGGTCAAGTGATCCTTCTATTTCAACCTCCCGAATAGTTAGGAAAAGGTATGCACCACCACACCTGGCTAATTTTTTAAATTTTTTGTAGAATTGGGGTCCCACTATGTTGCCCAGTGTGGTCTGAAACTCCTGGGCTCAAGGGATCCTCCTGCCTGGGCCTCCCAAAGTGCTGAGATTACAGGTGTGAGCCACTGTCTCAGCCTAATTAGCTATTCTTATTTAATCTATTCTGTTTTCTTGTTCATTCCAAGCCTACTCATTCATTCACTTATTCAAATATTTATTAAGCCTTTACTATTTTCCAGACACTGTTCTAGGTGCTGGGGATTTAGTAGCGAATAAACAGCTGTGCCCTCATGGAGATTACATGGCACAGGAGGCAGACAATAAGAATAAATAACTAAAATATATACTGTGTTAGGTAGTGGTGAGCACTAAGAAGAAAAATAATACAGAGGACTGGACATGCTGGCTCACGCCTGTAATCCCAGCACTTTGGGAGGCTGAGGTGGGTGGATCATGAGGTCGGGATCCAGAGCATCCTGGCCAACATGGTGAAACCCCATCTCTACTAAAAATACAAAAATTAGCTGGGCGTGGTGGCATGTGCCTGTAGTCCTACCTACTCGGGAGGCTGAGGCAGGAGAATCACTTGAACCCAGAAGGTAGAGGTTGCAGTGAGCCGAGATTGTGGCACTGCACTGTAGCCTGGTGATACAGCGAGACTCCATCACACACACAAAAAATAATACAGGGAAGAGGACTGTGGAATGTGTATGTGGTGTGAGGAGGAGGGTTTGAAATTTTAGCAATGGTGGCGAGATAACTTTATGAAGATGACTAAGTAAAAGCCAGGAGCAAAGTGAGGGAGCTAGCCATGAGGATATCTGTAGGAAGAGCATTCCTGGCAGAGGAAACAAGTTCAAAGGTCTTAAGATGGGAGGATGTCTGCTGTGTTTGAGGAACAGTGAGGGAGGCCACAGTGGTTGGATAGTTGCAGATGAGATCAGAATGATCAGGGGAGGGCAGATCACATGCAACTTTCTTTTAGGAAGGACTTTGGCTTTTATTTTGAGATGGGAAATCACTGGAGCAGAAGAGTGACATGATGTGACTTAATGGCTTAATGGGATCATTCTGACTACATTGTTGTGAAAGACTGAAGGAAGGGTGTGTCTGGAGTTGGTTCCTTCTGGTGGGTTCTTGGTCTCGCTGACTTCAAGAATGAAGCCATGGACCTTCACAGTGAGTTGTTACAGCTCTTAAAAGTGGCACGGACCCAAAGAGTGAGCAGCAGCAAGATTTATTGTGAAAAGTGAAAGAACAAAGCTTCCATAGTATATAAGGGGACCCCAGCAGGTTGCTACTGCTGGCTGGGGTGGCCAGCTTTTATTCCCTTATTTGTCCCCACCCACATCCTGCTGATTGGCCCATTTTACAGAGTGCTAATTGGTTCATTTTTTACACAGTGCTGATTGGTGCATTTACAATTCTTTAGCTAGACACAGTGTTGATTGGTGTGTTTTTACAGAGTGCTGATTGGTACATTTACAATCCTTTAGCTAGACACAGAGCGCCGATTGGTCTGTTTACAATCCTCTAGGTAGACAAAGAAAAGTTCTCCAAGTCCCCATTCGACCCAGGAAGTCCAGCTGGCTTCACCTTCTCAAGAGGACAAGGGCAGAATTGAGGAGCCCGATTAGGAGGCTGTTTTAGTAATTAGGCAAGAGATAGTGGGTTGGACCAGAACAAGTGTCAGATTTTGGATGTGTTGTGATGGAAGAGCCAATAGGATTTAATGGTGTGCCAGATTTGGGGAATGAAAGAAAAAGGAGTCAACGATAACACCAAAGTGTTTGGCTTATGAGTCTTCAAGAATTGGGTTGCTATTAGATGAGAGAGGAAAGACTTACATTGGTGTTCATCCTTCTCTTTCCACTCTGATGTCACTTTGGGGCCCCTCCTTTAGCAAGGGGTTGCTAATCTAAGTGTCCTGTGTCTGTAGGTTACCATTTTTTTTGATTGATGACTGGTTAGAGTGTGATACTGGAGTTTGAATGTGGTAGTTTAGAATTGGTAATATAATTGAATTATCTTTCCCTAGCAGATTAATTTTGCATTGTTTGAATCAGTGCATTCATGAGTTGTTGAAATCATGAATGAAAGTAGTGCATGTCATTATCTTTCCACTATGTAGTAGTTTAGAAAAATCACATAAAAATGGTTATAATATTTTATGACATTGAATAGAAAATATCAAAGTGCATCTCTCTTATCAAGGGTAAAATTTTGTGAAACTTTGTTCAGTTATATATAATGTCTTTTTTTTTTTTTCTTTTTGGAGACAGTCTGGCTCTGTTGTCCAGGCTTGAGTGCAGTGGTGCCATCTTG